AACTGGTCTTCTTTGTGGTTTTGAGAGACGAAATGCTCTGTGAGTGGTGCTTCCCTTGTTTGTCGTTTATTTCTTGTGATGTGTTCCATAATTCTTAATTTCAGTGGTCTGGTGGTACTTCCAATGTATAATTTTAAACAATCACACTGGATGAAATACACAACAAAGGCACTTCCACAGGTAGAACTTACATTACTATAAACATTTAAGGTGAAATTGTCACTTTCCCACATTACCTTGCAGGCTTTACATTTTAAACAGCGTCTGTGTCCCTTGGACTGAGTCCTAACCTTACATCTGATCTAACTATGATGTCCTTAAGAGTGTCTTTATATTGATACAGTCTCCTCTCGTGAGCTCTCATTTTGGTATATCACCTGGAGGTTGGCACACCTGACAGAGCAGTCGTTCAATATTCAAGTTTGCCACTTCGTGGTGCTCCCAGATACATTTTTGTGCATCTCGCAGCAGTGACCAGGCACGCTTTTTGCTCACTCCAGTACTGAGATTTGAATACCCTGCCTATCATACACAGTGATAGATACCTGTTTAAAACAAGGCCGAGTCTGTACACCTTTCGGCACAGGCAGTGACTGATGTTTTTTTTTTCCTCATCATGCTAAGTTTATGATCTCTAGCAGGGCTATTTTTCGGCAGGAACGCACAGGAATGGAGTTCCGGCTGGCTTCAGAGTTGGCCATGCCCACTACACCCAAAACCTTTGCATGCGTGGCTACAGAGGGAAGGCCTGGAGAGTAAACCCCACCCCCGTGACTCCAAGGTGGCGGGCCAGGGGGGGCCCCTGGAAGGATCAGGGAGGCCTTTAAATGCCTCCCCGTGCCTCCCCTGGCCTGTCCAAGGGCTCCCTGCAGCCACGGGGTGCCCAGGCAAGCCAAGTGAAGACAGTTTAAACTGCCTTCCCTTTCTTTCAAGGGGGGGGCCTTGCCCAGGCAAGTCAAGGGAAGGCATGGGGTGTGGTCTAATATGCTAATGAGCAGCACTGTCAGGGGTGTGGCCTGTTATGCTAATGAGTTCCTGCTGGGCTTTTTCTTAAAAAAAGCCCTGATCTCTAGTAACTTGTGGAAATATACTTTGTGTACTTCCACATCTTTTGAGATGCTGAATGGGGAAATATATACTCTGCACTGCCACTTTTTGGTTTGTATTTTGCATATATTTTGAACATTCCCAATGTCCACCTCTACTTTGAAGATTCGTACTCTGTAGATGCTTGGAGTTTTGTCTTTGTTTGTTTGTTTGCATTATTCTGAGAATAAGACAGCAGTCTTGTGAAGTGACCGGTTGCTGTCTAGCTCTGAGCTGGTTTTGTTTGTTCTTCTCAGCAGTGCACATACTGGCTAGTTGTTACTAGTGATGGTAGCCAGACTGACTGCCCAGCATCAGATAGAGCTGGGTGTCATCAGCATACTGGTGACACCCCAGCCCATAACTCCAGGCAATCTGGGTAAGGGGGCGCATGTAGATGTTAAATAACATCGGGGAAAGCACCGCCCCTTGAGGCATTCCACATTCTAGTGGGTACCTCTGGGAGAGCTGTTCCCCTCACGCCACCCTTTGTCCCGACCATGGTCCCAATGTCCACCTCTACGTTGAAGATTCGTACTCTGTAGATGCTTGGAGTTTTGTCTTTGTTTGTTTGTTTGCATTATTCTGAGAATAAGACAGCAGTCTTGTGAAGTGACCGGTTGCTGTCTAGCTCTGAGCTGGTTTTGTTTGTTCTTCTCAGCAGTGCACATACTGGCTAGTCAAGCCAACTGAATAACTTTTCATTTTTTGTTTCTTTGATCTGGGAACAACAACATATACAGTATTCACCATTTGCAATTGGACATTGTTGTTCCATCTCTTTCTTGTGGTGGAGGCGATGTTTATTTATTTATATTTTAATTTATATCCCACTCTACCCCACCAAAGCAGGCTCAGGGCAGCTCACGCAAAATAAAATACAGATTAAAACAATCAGATCACCAAAACCATTAAAACAACTCATTAAAACAATACAATATTAAATATCAAAGTGCTAGCGATGTTATTCCAATATCATAGTTATGGTGTTGCTGCGTGAGTGTATACCATATGATGTTTATTTCCAGCATTGATCTTACTCAGCACGCACAGGCTGTCGATAATTCACCAGGAACCAGGCTCTGCAGTTGTTACTAGTGATGGTAGCCAGACTGACTGCCCAGCATCAGATAGAGCTGGGTGTCATCAGCATACTGGTGACACCCCAGCCCATAACTCCAGGCAATCTGGGTAAGGGGGCGCATGTAGATGTTAAATAACATCGGGGAAAGCACCACCCCTTGAGGCATTCCACATTCTAGTGGGTACCTCTGGGAGAGCTGTTCCCCTCACGCCACCCTTTGTCCCGACCATGGAGAAAGGAGACAAGCCATTGCAAGACAAGCCCCTGTACTCCTGCATCAGCGAGGTGGCAGACCAGTAACTGATGGTCGACCGTGTTGAATGCAGCCGACAGGTCTAACGACAACAGCAACACTGAACCGCCCCGATCCAGATGCCTCCAGAGATTGTCCGTGAGGGCGACCAGTGCTGTCTCCGTCCCACGGCCTGGGCAAAAACTGGACTGGAAGGGATCTAGAATGGAAGCATCATCCAAGAAGCTCTGTAGCTGAATTGCCACGGCCCTCTCTATTATTTTGCCCAGATAGGGCAAATTGGAAACCGATCCAAAGATGGTTTCTTCAAAAGAGGACACACCACTGCTTCCTTGAGCACCCCAGGGAGCCAGCCCTCAATGAGGGGCTTCTTGATAATTTCCCTTAGGGTGCCTCGCAGCCCATTGTGGCCAGCTTTAATTAGCCACAACGGGCACGGATCAAGGCAGCACAGTCGATGTTCTGGCAAAGGTGGCATCAAAAGCTGTTTCTTTTCTGGGCATCAAATCATAATAGCCCAGTTATTTGCTGAAGGCAATCCCTGTACATAAAGAATAGAGACAAGATTAGGGCCATCTTATTTAATTTGTGTGGCTATCCGATTTGGCCTTGTTGGATAGTCCTACACCGGTGTATGAGGTCACACCATTGTATTCTATCTGGAGTGCATTGCTTCTGCTACCAGATAAAATGTTTTCTGTGATTAGGAGATGAATATGGGAAGCTATCACAAATCAGATTAGAATCAGTTTTTGTGTTGCCACGTGTAGGCCTCTCTCCCAAAACTGAGATGTCTCAAACACACTGAGGCAGTCACAGAGCAGCCTGAGACTGTTCCTTATCATGATGACCTGGCATCTCCCTGTTTTGTTGCTTGTGATCCAAGAACTCGTTACAGCCCAATCAGTGGAAATCTAATGCAAACTCTTTTGTCTGCAACTTTCAGTCACAGACCCTTCATCACTACTTTGTGATAATGCACAACCAAACCTCAGCAATTATTTTTAACCAAACCTCAGCAGTTTTGGACAGGGAAAATTTTTGAACAGAGAAAAAGGGGTAGTGAGGGTATGCCTAACACATTCTTTGGCCTTAATTTCTTTCCATATACCTCCTTCCCCTCTGGAGTTAAAAAGACTTCTTTTGAGCCCTGGGTTGAGAGAACCCACCAGAATGGAGAGGGAAGGGAGAATTTGGAGCAGAGAAATTCTTGTTTCTCTGCTGAAAGTCCCATACCCTGAAGATGCCTCTTATTTTTAATAAGGTGGTACTGGGACTCCATGAACGTGCAAGTGTGCATCATGTGTAGTTAGTCTCTCTGAATGACCTTCCTTGTGAGGCTTTCATGTAGCTTGTGGTGCCACGTCTCTCTTAAGTGTGGACCTCCTTGGAGAGTACTTCCTTAGCCTGAAGCGGAGCTCAGGGAAGGGGTGTAGTGACACTTACAGGTCACAGCCCTAGTGGACCATTGCCCATGGCAACGGTGATGATGCAAACAGGTGTAGGCTTGCCCAACCATTTTCATCATTGCCACAGCCCAAGTCCGAGCTGAGGGGACTCTGAGGCACTGCCATCACAGCAGGGGCCCTTGGTTCCACTTGCTCCAGGGTTGTGTTAACATATCAGTCCATTTGTGGAGGGAGTCATGTGACAAGTCACTGGGCTTCTCAAACTGATGCTCCTTGATTAGTAATGTGGCCTGCCAGGGAGCCATGGGAATAGTGTGGTGTTGTATGGCACACAACGATAGGATGCTCTCAAGTAGCGCGTTACAGCTCCAGTAATGCTCCAAGGCATACTTTCTTCTTATATTCATTCTCACTCAAATGCTTGTTGAAGTAGGCTTAACTTCTTTTCTTAGGGACAGAGAACATATAAGCCCCCTGTCCACCATCTGATTGTCGTGTTTGCTCCGTGTCTACTAAATTCTCACAGTTCCAAAATAGATTGTTAATGAATTGGGTCACTTGAGGCTTGCTTTGAGAGGCAAAGATGCTACTTGGAAGAGATGGGTTCTGTAATATACTAAAGATTCAACTATATTTAGAAATAAACTCTACAGGACTTAGCTAGCTTATGAAAACAGGAGCTTTTGGGGCTCACTCTGTAGGTGTGTTGAGAATGTTTTCTCTCTGCTGTTACACCCAATTTGCACCTTCTGCCGGAGACTTCTACAAGACAGGGCTGTCCGGAATTTCCCCTACTCACATTGCTCTGTGGCTGTTGATCTGGGAAAGAGGGAGGCAAGGGGGGCCAGGGGGGCCAGGGCACTGATCTGTGGATTTGGGTTCTATTTTTGTCTTCCCTGGTAAGTTCTGGCTGACCAAATTTGTGGCTACAGAGATCCAGTTGCTATAGAGATAACAAAATGTCTCCGTCATTCTAAATAGCCCTTCATTTTTGTTTGGCCACTGTAGCCAAAGTCAATTTAGGGGGCTTAACCTTCTGTCCGACTTCAGGCATCCACTCTTGCTGCATTATGGGAACATTTTGTGTATCTGAATAATAAAGCCAGATAGCCAGAAAAAAGAGAATTGGGTTGTGATGAGTCTTTTTACATACAAAATTATTTTTCAGCCCACTGGACGAGGAGCTCGTCTCCCAGAGGTTTACTGTATTATAAGCTGCCTGGGTTGCTTCGGCCTGTTCTCAAAGGTAGGCTTTCTGGACTCTCTGTGTTTGTGTGTCATTTCCCCCTCCTACCCAAGCTTTTGTGTCCAGCTATACAACAGTGAAATTGGCCCAGAATTGCTTATCTTGTTGTTCCATGATAAAACTCTGATATATAATTTCTTTGGGGATAGAAAAGTCAAGGCTCAGTCAGATGTTAGTCAGTCAGATGTTAGATAGTTCGCTTTGGGGATAGAAAAGTCAAGGCTCAGTACTATGTATAACTATAAATGTCAGATGTTAGATAGTTTGGTGCTCTTTGGTTTTCCCCTGTGGTGAGGGAAAATGCTCTTTGCACATGCACAGAGGCATTATTAGACTTGAGAACCATGGTTATACAGTAGCTTGGGTATTTATTTATTTATTTATTTACTTCATTTATACCCCGCCTTTCTCCCCATTGGGGGCCCAAAGTGGTGCTGGGGATTATGGGACCCTCATGGATAAAAGCCAGGTGGGGACAACAGCTGTAGTAAGGAGGGGAATTGGTCAAGACAGAGTGAAGAAATTGGTTGGATGCACCCCATTGCTAGGAACAGATTCAGAGTGGTAGCAGATAGGTTGACCGGTGTTCCTTTTCTTCCATTAGATTTTGGACGAGGTGGAGAAAAGGCGGCAGATCTCTGCAGCGGTCATCTATCCCTTTATGCAGGGTCTGCGGGAATCGTCCTTTCCAGCACCTGGGAAAACAGTCACCATTAAGAGCTTCATCCCTGACTCGGGGACAGAGGTTTGTGCCTGCTAAGTGATCTTGGCTGGTTCTGTCACAGCTAGTAAACAACTGTGGCAACAATTGAGCTGCAAGCGCAGGAAGGTTAAAGCTGATGCTCTCAAAACACTCTCTATGTGGCCGGCCGGCCTTTGTCTGTCCGGGTTTCAACATCCTCTTGGTGAATGAACTGTCTGTCATGAGCACAAACCACAATTTTGCACATCAGAAAGGCATTACAGGTTGTCCTTTTGGGAAATGACGTGAAGGACCTGATGGCCACAAGCATAGTGGTGTCAGGATAGAGAGGGGATTAGAAGGGCTGTCCTAAAAAGAGTTGGAGCCTTTTAAGTCCACTGAGGTCAGTTGGCTTAGGAGAGTGTAACTCTGCTTAGGATTGCATGATAAAGCATCTGACTATGGCCGTGCTTTGGACGGAGCAAATACTCACAGTGCTTTTGCCTATGGCCCCAGAGCTGTCAAGGCTGTGTGTACATACCCGGGGACAGATATGGATACCCACACTGCCATTTAGGAGGACCAGGTGCAAAAGTACAAGGCTTCTGGACATCTTATAGCTTTCTGCAGATTTCCTTGCCTTTGCGTGGCTGGTAGGGTGGCCAACCTCAAGGTGCAGCCTGGAGTTCTCCAGGAACCATGACTGATCGCCAGACTGTGGTGCTCAGCTCCCCTGGAGGAAATGACAGCTTTGGAGGGCAGGCTGTGTGGTATCACATCCCTCCCGTCTCCAAACTCTGCCCTGCCCCCGGTACCACATCCAAATCCCAGGGATTTCTCAAGATGGTGTTGGCAGCCCTCAAGGCAGGCAGCACATGCCACGTATTCTGCAAGGCCATTAAAGGTACTGGAGCCCCTTCCTGTTTTGCATGTGGTTGTCCTTCTGGCATTGCTTGTCTGGGCATGGCAACTAGGGTGTCGGCATTGGCATTGTGTTTTGGATCACGGTGCAAACAAGTCCTGGCAATGAGTCACATCTCTGTTACCTTTACAGAGTTGCATAGAAGAGGGAATCTGGGCAGATGCTGCTTATCTACTGTGACATGACAATCTACCTCTGTCCTAGTTCTTTCCTCTATGGAACTAAGGTACAGGGGGCCAGTCTTGCAGTACACCTGGCTACTCTAGTGGCATGCAGCAGCTGACTTTTGCCCTGGGGAGATGCCCCCGTTTCTTAACAATATTCCGTCAGTGGTAAGCCACAGGGCAGAACGTGACTTGTTCTGCTGATCTTTCTTCTGCGCTGACTTACCAGTGAGTTTGGCTTCCTATTCATGTGTCAAAAGCGTCTCTGTTTTAGTTCCAGAGAATGTCAACTTGGTATGATTTCCTGGCTTGCTTAATGCTCTAGGCAGCTGGGGGAATGAGATAGTGGGTGCTGAGCACATATTCCTCAACAGCATCGGAAAACTGTCTTCTCGTTACCCTTAAATGGACATAGTGCTATCTGCTTCTGCCTTCCACCAGACCATTATTTACTTGCTAGGAAAGGAAGAGCTGAGGACAGAAAGCAGATCATTTCAGCAGCCGGGCTGCTGCACACATGCAGCGCAACCAGAGAGTCAAGCTCCAGGAAACCAGTTCTGTGTATTCAAACTAGAAGACGCCTGTGCCCATTGGCTGGAAAGCCAGCAACATCACTAATCCACTTCCCCTCTCCTCCCAGATCAGTTTTCCAGAGTTTTAAGAATTTGTTCTGTTTTCAAACATGCATAAATATAAGGGTGTGCATGTGTGAGAGAATGTGAATATGTTAATTAATGTGCATGTACTGCTTTAGAAAGAAAAAAGGCAGACAGCCTGGAGTGCTGGGGAGGAGTCAAGTACTGGGCATTTTTGTGCACACAAAACCAATGTCTTTCAGTGAACCTGAAAGTACCTAGCACCAGAAGGATGCGTTGCGCACCTCCACAACAGATAAAAAAAAGAGCTGAAGTGGAAACAGGGTTTAGGATCCAAGCCTGTGAATTCGAATTCCCAGGAACAGTTTGGGGGGGGGGAAGAGTAGCTCTGTCAAACAAAACGTTTTCATCCTCCTGTGTTTCCATATGTTAATATCCTGCCATGTCTTTGTTTATTCCCCACAGCTCCTAGAGCTAACCCGGCCCTTGGATTCTCGACTGGAACATGTGGAATTTCGGGCACTTCTACAGTGCCTCAGTCCTGATAAGATCCTCCAGATATTTGCTTCTACAGCTCTGGAGCGACGGATAGTCTTTCTGGCAGAAGACCTCAGGTAAAAACACTCTGGCCCTTATCTCCATGAAATTAATCGTACCTTCGTATCTTTAGGCTGTGATGTGAGGAGGGGTCTTGTAGAAAAAGAGCTAGGGGAACTCATTAGCATAACTCATTAGCATATGCCACACCCCCTGACATCAGGGGCCCAGCGGTGGACCTGCAAGGCCGGCAGGAGTGCGAGGAAGCCCCGCCAAGGCCCTCTCTGGCCCCAGGCAGGCAGGGGTGGGGAGAGGCGGGGAGGAAGCAACTTACCCTCCCTCTTCTCCTGCCTCCTCCTGGCTGAATGAGGGCTGGAAGCGGGGCGGCCGGAAGCAGGGGGCGGGGCTTCATCGTGTGCCCCGCCCCCCGCACCTCACCCAGGGGGACTGCGATCCCCCGTGTTCCCCCCTGAAATGACCTGAGGGAACCATATGCTGGTGGTTCTGTTTCTGGTAGGGTGACCAGTACCAAATAGTGGTATAGTGGTACAGATTCTGCGCTCCATTTTGCTACAAGGTTCCGTCTTGGACCCCCCCCCCCCCATGCTGTTTAATACCTATATGAAACTACTAAGAAGAGTGATCTGGAGATTGGAGTATGCTGATTACACGCAGCTGTTTTTCTTTTCACCAGTCAGGTGAGCTAGTGGATGTCATGAATGAGTGTCTTGAAGTGGTAATGGGATTGGATAGGGGCCAGTAAACTGAACTTAAACCCAGAAAAGACCAAGCATCCTTTGGCCAACAGTACAGCCAGTCAGGGATTGCAGATTCTGTTCTGGGTGAAGGTGTGCTCTTCCCCCCACCCCAGCCCACCCCCCTGAGCAGTTGTGCAGCTTGAGGATGCTATTGATTCATGCTTACAGAATGCATAGCTCCTAAACCAATTGTAATTACTATGCCAGTTACAGCCCTTTGAGAGGCATAATCTTCCCATGGTTAACCCTGCTTTGATCACATCCAGGTTAGAGTACTGCAACACGTTTTATGTAGAGCTGTCTTTGAAGACTTTGGACACTTCAATTGGTTCAGGACAGCAGTGAGCCAGTTTTGAGATCTAAATTGGCTATCATTTTCTTTCTAGGGTTAAACTCTAAACAGGCTGGGTCCAGGATGCTGAAGGATCACCTACTCCCATACAAACTTGCCCATCAACTAAGATTTGCTTCAGAGGCCCTGCTCTGGATTCCACCATCTGACAGGGCCTTCTCTGCAGTTGCACCTCCCTTTTATTTATTTATTTTATACCCCGCCCTCCCCGCCAAGGCAAGGCGGCTTACAACAATCACAAATACAATTAAATACAGTTAAAAACCTATCATTAGCATAAATTACTTAAAATAACAATCCTTTAAAAATATCACACATAACATACTTAAGCTGCAGGAACATCAGGTCTTAAAACATAATTTAGGTAACTGTTAGATGTCAGTGCTTTCACACCAGCCCCATTCTCATTTATTATGCAGTGAGGACAGGTTGGGAACCACGATGGTAAGACCCAGGTTACAGACCCAGGTTGTAGAACATGCTTAGCACAGAGATTTGCCTAGCATCAGGTTAACTTGGTTTTGGGTGCAAAGTGAAAACATCTTTGTTCTTCCAGGCCTTTTGTAGATCTTTTGACCTTGGTTATTTTGTTTTTGCTTCCCACTTCTACTTATTACTTATCTGGTAATGGTTGATTCAAGGTTGGTAGGTTTTTACTGCTGTCTGAAGTTGGTTTGTTGCCAGCCAAGTTTATGGTGTGTGATTTCTTTGTTGCGGATTATTGCATGGTTTTAAATGCATTGATGTTGTTTTTAATTGAAAATGCCTTAATACATCCAGTGGCAGGGATAGCCCATTAACCAGTATATCTACAAAATAAATATGATGTTGTTGCTGAGGATTGTTGACATTTTCAGCTGGATACTAAATTTGCACAGCGTGGCATTATTGTAGCCCTTTCTTAGACACCCAGGGAAATGCTGATCGCCACTTTGGGGTCAGGAAGCAATTTTTCTCCAGGCCAGTATGACTGGGGATCCTGGAGGTATTTTATCATCTTCTGGGCATGGAACAGGGGCCACTGGGGGTGTAGGAGGGGGAGGTATGTGTGAATTTCCTGCATTGTGCAGGGGGTTGGACTAGATGACCCTGGAGGTACCTTCCAACTGTATGATTCTATCTATGGCCGCTTTATAATTATAGAGCATTTTTTCACTTTAGAGTTGCAGCTTGGAGAACTCACCTGTCTTGTGAACAGCCTCACAGCAACAAATGAGGCTGTAACTGAGGTTTCTCAATGTTCTGTTTTTTCCTGTTACGGACTCTCCATTCC